GAAAAGTGTTAAAGATTGCTTCTCTTTGGAATAATAAAAATATTCTAAAATTAAATCTACAGTCTATCACCTAAAGAAAAACTACCTTCTTGACTTGTCCAGCAGGTACAAGAACTTGGTTCTGATCACCATCACCAAACAGATACAGAAACTTTTTGGAGTAGAATTGTCTCTTTTCATTGGAAGGGAGGGAATCACTAAAGCTTTATTTTATCCTGTACAAGTGTGGCAGGGGCAGGGAGTAGGGGGGATGTTACATTTTGGAACCAGTTTCCTTTGCTGCTGTTTATGACAGCCCCAAACACGAGTTGTGATAGGCATTTAAATGCATTTAGTAACACGAAAGTTAATTTTCTCCATCTATCAAACATTTTGAAGGGTTTCTTCTTCACACCCTTCCACATATACTATATTGTGCTGTTCATTTTGAATTTGACTTCTATAGTAAGGAATTCACTGTAGTTTTACCGAAGAGGAATCTGAGCCATGGAATGTTTAAATGAATTTCCTATACATAAGTATTCGGCTTCGTACCTCAAAGACAGAAGGCCATGTGAAAATGCAGAGAAAAGGAAGAGAAAGGAAAGCATTTCTAATTCCTGTCAGAAAAAGGTGTTAACTTTTGGTGTATATAATTATAATCTTATGCTATTAATATTTATGTAAAATTTTAACAAAGCATACAAGTAGTACCTCTTTATATTGTGCTCCATAACTACCTTGCATTTTAAATCTACTGTTTTCTAAGGACTCAGGATTGTTATTGGTGAAAAATACTTAGTCCCTTTAATTGTGATGCTAAAAAAGTAGCATCCAAGGGTCCCACTTGTTAGAGGAAGATCTCTGACAAACATAAGGGTTTCATTCCTGTTTCGCAGCTGTGACCCACTAGCTTTGCCTTTGCTGTATGTTCCCCCATATTTGAATCCGATGAATGAATCATACTAAAATTTCACCAAGTTTCCAAGTCATAGAATTCTAATAAGAGCATTTGAATTATCTCACACCTAGGGAGATGGCTCACTCAGCAAAGTGCTTGCTTCACAAGTATGAGATCCTGAGTTCAGATCGTCAGAACCCACACAGAAATTCAGGTGTTGTAGTGTGCACTTGTAAGTCCAGTGAGGGGAACCAAAGATAGGGAGATTCCTGAAGATTACTAAGCAGTCTAGCCAAATTGGTGAGCTTTAGGGTAAGTGAAGGATCCTGATTAAAAAAATAAATAAGTAATAAATAAATAAATAATCAATAAATAGAAAGTGATTGACAAAGATACCCAATATCTACCTCTGGTTGCCACATGTGCACTTACAGCTACACACATGCACACACACATACACACATACTAAAAATGCAAATTTCTCATTAAAGTCACTTGTCAGTTCTTCAGGTTCAGGAGATGCTCCAATGTCATGTGAGCCAACAACCTCAAATAAAAGATTCAAACAATTCCAAGAATAATCCAGGAAAAACCCCAAGGCAAATGCAATTAGCTACTTTCATCTCATATAATCTGCACAGCAACTTTGTGAACCAGGTAAGGATAGCAGAGCTATGTCACTTGCCCAACGATAAATAACTGTCTGGTATTTCTATTCTAAATTGGATGCATTTTCTGCTGCCCCACAGCTTCCACAGACACTATGGGAGCAATGAAGACACATGCTAAACTATGTCATCACTTTAAAACATTAAACTTCTTCCTCATATCACATTTTAAAATTCTTCTCATATTTGAGTGAGAAATTTTTTTTAAGTTTCAAGGCATATGTCTAAAAATATTATAAAATTTAAAGTCAAAATACAAAGATAAAGGATTGATTATTATTAAGAGAGTTCATAAAATTAAGTTAAAAATTAAAAATACCCCACGAGGAAAATAAGCAAAGATTCTAAGATGGCCAATTGACAAAAGAATAAATATAAAGTGACAATAATGGTAGGCAAAGTAATGCTGAGTCCCAGTCATTAACTAAAAATTAAAAATAACATTCAGATGACATCTCTAGCTAATCAACTGGTTTTTCTTGTTTCTTTTGTTAAATGGTAGAGTCTCAAATGATAACATCAGAAATGGCAGCTCAGCGGTAAAGAGCACTAGTTGCACTTGCAGACAACCTAGGCTTGGTTCCCAGCACCCACAAAGCTGCTCACAACCATCTGTAACTCAAGTTACAGGAGCTCCAATGCCCTTTTCTGACCTCTGTGGACATTGCATGACATGGGTGTACTTACATATATGCAGGCAAAACACTCCTACACATAAAATAAATAAAATTGTAATGGTAAAAGAGAAGTGGCAGCTGATATAAACTGTTGGAAAGTATGTCAATTTGAATCAAAAGATAACACAGCAATCCTCCATCAAATAATTTTTCTAAGCAAAAGTATGGAATAGGTTGCAGGTGTGAAATAGATTTTTACTTATTTACTTAAATTTTTCTGTTGCATTTATTTATTATTTGTTTGTTTATTTATTTATTTGTGTGGAGGTGGGCGTGTGCATGCATACCACAGCATATGTGTGGAGGCCAGAGGACAACTTGTAGGAGTCAGTTCTCTCCTTCCACATGTGGGTCCTGGGGATTGAACTGAGGTTATCAGGCTTGGTAGCAAGTTCTTTTTCCTTCTGAACCATCTCTCTAACCCCACTCCATTATTAAATTATAGAAATTTTTTAAAAAGCTTTCAGCAATAGGAATATGAACAAAGCAGCTATGAGACATCTCATAGCCATTGAAATTTGCTCTTATTTCCTTCTTTACACACTTTAATAAAACCCAAGTGTTCTTCAGTGATGTATTCTTATTTCTATTAAAAAAAAAAAAAAAAAAAAGCATGATTCTAGAGATCTGATTAGCCAAATCCATCATCTGCCCTCAGGTCTGAGCAGGACTCTGTGTGAAGTGATTTTGAAAAGCTCATTGTACTTCGTCGCTTGGCATGTTTGCTCTCTTTCCAGTCTTACAACAACCTGGTTGGCAGACACTGTCCATGGTTACCACTTCATTGAAACCTGATCTACAATATTAAAAAGAGAGAATTAAAATTGAGTTTTAAGAGTTAAGGATAAACATCATGAACCAGAAAGGAAAAAGGAAAAGTGACCTGGAAATAGAACACTTCCTGGATGAAATTAATCTCATACACAGATTTCTATATAAAGCACATCATAGCATTGATGCACTTAGGAACACTAGACAGCACTTCAGTATTGGGCTTACATACCATTTCAAACAGTGAAATCATCAAAAACACCAAAAAAAAGAAAGAAAAATGGAATAAGTAGACTATCAGAAAGACACTTGTTTACAGTATGCGAGCTGAAAGAAGAAAGCAGAGCCTTGCCTTGCTTGACATCAGTTGCATAGAGAAACTCACTTGCTTTCCCCTCTCTGTTCGTGTCTATGAATAAGAAAACTATGCAAGTGCTGAGCTTGTGGTACAGGCCAGTAATCCCAGCTACTTAGGAGGCTGAGGCATGAGGATCACCTTCTCAAGGCCTGCATAAGCTACAGAGTGAGTTTAAGTCCAGCCTAGGATACTTAGTGAGACCTGTTTCAAAACAAGGTAAGGAAAGAAACACGCACCGTGATTTGGGGTAACTTTAATAGGTAGGTAAATTCACAAAATGCAGAATCTAAAAATAATGAGAATTAAGTGTATACTTCACACAGATGAACTTGCTAAACAGGAGCCTTACTCTGAAAGATGTACCTGTTTTTTATGTGCTGACAAGATGGACTGTTAGACCTGCAGAGCCAAGGCTGGGAACTATTTGTGCTGTACAAGAATCAATCAGCTCCCCTCAGGAAGCATACAACGCTTTCAGTGTGGCTATGCCTTGTTGTGTCCATACTTGTACGCCAATGGTTGGCAACATTAGCATGCATCTGGAAGGCTTGGCACAACACAGATTGCTAAACCTACCCCTAGTATTTCTAAGATAGTAGACCAGAAATAGTGTAGATTTTGCATTTCTAACAATGATCACATAATGGTCATGCTGCTGGGCCAAAGACTTCACTTGGAGAACCTTTGGTCTACACTATTAGCACCATTTTTCAAAAAAAAAAAAGCACAAATCTGAGAAGGAATGAATAACTTGTCAAAGTTTCATGTGTAGCTAGTAACTGGCTTTCAGATGAGATGTGGCTGAACCCTCAGGTCTTCTGGTTTTACTGGATTTCTTTGGTGCTGATTTCATCATAACATGACATTTCAAGTGGCAGTTTTTAATATTTTATTTATTATTTTATTTTATGTGCATGAGTATATTGCCTGCATGTATGTAAGTGCACCCGTGTCATGCAGTGCCCTCAGAGGTCAGAAGAGGGTGTCATCAGATCCTGGGAACTGGAGTTCTGGATGGCTGTTAGTCATCGATGTGGGTGCTGGGACTTGAACTCTGGTCCTCTTCAAGAGCAGCCAGTGCTCTTAATTGCTAAGCCATCTCTCCAGCCCCATTAAGTACAAGTTTTCATCCTAGCCTGTTCTGCTACAATCTATTCAGTCATAAGTAGAGTTGGACCCTAGAACCAAGAGCCCCACTGTGGTCACTGGGCCTGTTGAAGTCAGGGCTGAATTACAGGAGGCTGAGGAGGAAGAAGACAAGTTCTTCTCTTGTCTTGCTAGGGGATGCCTCATGCTTGACGACAAGCCAAGATTTGAGAATATAAATCGGTTGTTAACAAGTAAATTTATTGTTAGCTTTTAGTTGGTAGGGAATATAAGGAAGTGATCACACAAACTGGAATGAGGGCCTGATGGCTTGATTATCTGTCGTCTGAGTTTGAACCAAAGATACACAATAGTCAGTGTCAGCTAATAAAGTCAACATGGAGAAGATAGCAACCTAAACTGGGGGAGTCATAGCCAAGTCACAGAGTAAGGCTCTTTAGAAATAGCAATCATTATTTAAGGAAATGTTACTAGGCTATCAGATCCATTAATTATGCGCTGGAGCATATTCTAAGAACATTTTCCTGTTCCTTTTGTAGTAGTATCCCGTACTTCTGTTTACCTACATTTGGATTCAAGCACATTTTGCCATTGACGGATGATGCTGAGAGATTCAATGAGATCGTGAGGAAACAAAAAATTTCTGCTAATATTGACACGCTTGAAGGCGGATTCGATGCAATTATGCAGGCTGCCGTGTGTAAGGTGTGGGGGATGCATGTTTCAATCTGTTAGCACAAATTTCATCTCTAATTAACAAATATGCTTTGGAAAGCTTAGCTAATTTTTCCCCTTTAATCATCATATTTCTATATTTGATCCTCTTCTTAAAACATAAAACGTCTATAAAATATGTAATTCAATCATGTTGAAATAGGAGATTGTTTCATGTCTAATTTTTGAATAATCAGAGAAAAGTATAGACGTGTGGGGAAATTTTGATTCAAAGATCAGATTAATTTAGTGGAAGTCAATGGCAGACCATTAGTAAATAAAGGGTCAGTATATACCTACACATATAATTACATGATTATGGTTTTTCACCTTTTAAAAGGTGTTGGGGTCTTTTATATGCTAGGCCAGCACACGACTATCTTTACCTTGTTTTTTTGTTGTTGTTGTTGTTTTTTGTCTTTGTTTTTTTGAGGCAAGGTCTTGTTTCATAGATCAAGCTAAAATCTACTGTTTTGAACTAAAAAAACTCAGCATCAGAAGTTACACTGCCTCTGCGGTGCTGTCAGAACCCTATTTCTCCTGGACTATCTGACAAGTATTACAGAGAATGATTCCCTTGACTGTGGACATCATCCTCTCATGGGAAATTCCAGGAGATGAACAGGGCTGAAGCTCACATAAAGTAGAAGGAAAAAAAAAAAAATGACAAGGGGGCTTGGGGCAGCCAGGATGAGTTTTTGCACAAATGATTCCTGGACTATTATTTGTTAAACAGAATATCTCTGCTCAGACACAGACTGCAGATAACCTCAACTAGCAGTACCTAGGGCCATGTTCCATCAGCAGTTCTTAAGCTTGTATTAGGTTTTTAAGTTTTAGATTGCATCATTAGAAATAGATGCCTAAATGTCAGGTGACATTTTAATGAAGCAGGTTTACTTTATATTCAATTTGTGTTGCATTTTAACCACTTTTTCTCCAACTTGAATTTGGGATTAACTGTGACTTTCCTTATTACCTCCTTTCAGTTTTCTGGTGAATCGATAACTACACAATAAAGAAAGTTAACTAAACAACACTGCTCGCAGTGGAGCTATTTGTTCTGACTCATCAATCAGATCTGAAAATGTTATCCAGGAAAAAGCAAATGCCACAGGATTGCCGGTTTTTGATATGTTATCAATTTACAACAGATGAAAGACTGAAATAGAAAGATTAACAATACATTGTTCATAATCTGAATGTGTGCAAGCAGGTCCTTACTCAATCTGTGCCTGTCTGTCTCCAGTGCAACCTAAGGTGGTGGTAGTTTTTTTATTTTTTTGTTTTTTTCTCACTCTAGGAAAAAATTGGCTGGAGGAATGACTCACTGCATCTCCTGGTTTTTGTGAGTGATGCTGATTCTCATTTTGGAATGGACAGCAAGCTGGCAGGCATTGTTATTCCCAACGATGGGCTCTGTCACTTGGACAACAGGAACGAATACTCCATGTCAACTGTCTTGGTATGTAACCTTCACTCTGCCTGGCTTTCGGGACCACAAGTAGGCCCGTAAGGCAACAATTGCTATAATACCACCTGAAATAACTCACATTGGTAAAGGCAGTGCACATTTTCTGAGTTAGGATTTAGAAATTGCTCCTTTCATCCTCATCTACATTGTAAGTCACCACCCAAATAGCTGAGGCTGATGGGGATGCCTGAGAGTTTGGATCTGTTATGGCACACATAATCTCAGAATCTCTCCAGCTTCTCAGAAATCCTGGGGCCAGCAAAAACAGCACAGATAGCGATTTCTGTTCTCAGCCACAGAGGTTCAGACCAGAACTACGGGTTTTTGAGAATGATTATTCCTCAGTCGCACCACGGGGCTCTATGGGGAATAACTAGGCAGTCTTTGATTGGCACTTCTTAATACTTAACTTATTTTCTGTCATTGAAAAAGTGCTGGGAACACTTTTCTTTTAACTTGACATTTGTAGGGCTGGGTGAGGTGGCACAGGCCTTTAATCTCAATACTTGGGAGGCAGAGGCAGGAGGATCTCTGTGAGATGGGGGCCAGCCTGGTCTACATAGCAAAGTTCTAGGGCACTGGGGCTACAGGGAGACCCTGTCTCAGAAAACAAAAACAAACAACCAAAAAACCCTTGACTTTTATAAAGACAAGATGCATACATATTGTGTGATTTTTCCTGTAGAGACATGAAACCCATTCATTGACTCCACATAGGGCTCTAGAGACAGAATAAAGACATGATTCTGCCCTTTTTTTTTTTTAACTTTTACAAAAACTTTATTGAGAATTTCATACATGCATATAAGGTGTTTTGATCAAATCCATGCCCATTCCCTTCCCTCAAAAAAATAAAATAAAATAAAAATTTCAAAGCTCTTTGACCCACATGGTCGCATGTGATCTTCAACAGAACCCTGTGTGTCCAACTGTGGTTTCTATGAGCAGACCATATGGCTACAATGCTTATAAAAGTCATTCCACCTACCTGAGAAACTAATGGCCTTTAAAACCCAGAGATCTTTCTTTGACCCACCACTAGGCCTCACAGTAATCACTTCTCATTCCACCTTTATTTGTAGCAGTCTTCTTACACATCTCTATGTGGAAACATGCTTGCTTACTTACATCTCTTTATCTTTCTCCATGGCACATTCTTCAGAGCCTGGGCTACTTTATTATCTCTGCTTCCTAACAGCCCAGTGCCTGGCCCACAGGTCGGTGCTGGCAAATGTATGAGACAGAGTTAAAGTAGGAAGCATCCACCTAGAAACATCATATTCACATTTAACACAAGAAGAAACATGGCTCAGAAAAGTTGAAGGATCTTTTAAATGATAGTGCTATAAAAGTACGTAATAAGGGAGGAAAAAACCTGAAATTCTAACGTCAATTAGAAAAAAAACTATTCTATATAAATGTTAATAGGTCATAAATTTGGGTCATTCCTTGACCTCAATTTCTAAACAACATAAAATTTTTCCCTACCTTTGATCAATTATACTCCCCATACATGCATATTCTTTAATCACAATCTGTCTTTTCATGTGGTAATAGTCATGAGAGCCATATTTTGTCTTTTAGCCAATGAAGGGAAAGGAACCTTGAAACCGACCGTTGCTCATTATCTTGTTCCTGCCCCTTTCAAATGCCTGTTAATAGACACTCAAAAATGGGAAGATTGTAGAAGCCAGGGCTACCTGTTGCCTGATATGATCTTCTCCTTTAATAAATACTCAGTCCGCTCTTACTGAATAAGCTCCTATACAGATGCAGAAGCCATGCCCCCTGGGTCCTTTGAGTGTTTCCTATATGCTGAAAGCTGAGCCAGATCCCTGGAACCACCAATAAGGGCCTGTTCATGGCCTTGAACCTACAATGTAGTTGTGCGAATTAAACTAACAAATCTTATTCAAATAGAACACAGCATCCTATATGGGCTGTGTGGTGTGATCCTGGCTCTACACACACAAATAGACAGGTGCGGGAACCATGAAGGTAAGGAGGTGCCAGCCCTAGGGAGCCTTTGATTTAGTGTGAAGGATGTTCAAGGTTTGGGCAACTGAAAAGCAGAAGAGACTGAACATATCAGACTCAGGAAAAGTTATATTATCTGGTATATCTGCTAATAAAAATCTGAATATGGTAAAAGTATATACATAACCAGATTTACGGTTATGAAGTTTCCCTAGGTAGTGTAGGCAAAAATATACCTTTCTCTCAACTTGAACCTTGTACCTAACAGATGAACATACTCTGGTAGTGCTGAGACTCTAAGAACACACACATCAGTAAACAGGAAGGCCTCCTCAGTGTTGGCACCACCGGCCACCATTAGTTTAATCAGCTGCAGCCACTCCGTTTATGTTTGTGTTCCTCCTTTGTACACTATCCATATTTGGAATCAAGGACAGGCAAATGTACTCCGTGTTTTCTAGACTTAGAAAGTAAATGTATCTTCGAATTTCATAATTAATAATGCCTTTTAGAAAAAAGTATTCACATCCACTTGAGAATAAATGTATTAATGGGCTAGAAGTATAGTTTGTTTTCAGTTCTGTAAAAAAGATTTAAGAATGCCAACCAACCAATTCATGACATTAAATAGGCAATAGAACCAAACCCAAGAGCTGGCGTAAGGATGTCTCAAATCAGATGGTCACAGGAATTATGGCATGTTATTCATCAGCAGACTATCCCTTCCTCAGCCTTCATGTCACCTCATCCAATGCCAGTAAGAGTTTCAGAGCTGAAAGCCGCTCAGTCACATACATCAATGTCTAACTGTCCCTCCCTCTAGTCACACATTCCTACCTGCTGGCGAGTGGCACTTACAGAAGAACTGTTCTCTCTGCCCTTGAGAATATGACAAATTAAAGTCTTGAAATAAATTCCAAGTGGTCTGCTTAGACTACAATGCACAGTGAGAGAGAGAGCACAATGCAGCACAGTAGCTGACTCTTAGGACTTATCTGAACTTATGAGACTCGGGGCAGTTACTGAGCCAGCTAAGTGAACAGTGCCAATAGTGTGGGTTTCCTTACAGTGAGAGATACAATAATGTCTTTGAGCACTGTACTGCTCAACTCAGTAATAAGCGTTTGAAATAAGCATTCTTTTAGTGCACATCTTTTTGTTAAGATATTTTAAATCTATATATTAATTTTAGGAATATCCAACAATTGGTCAACTCATTGACAAACTGGTGCAAAACAACATGTTACTGATCTTTGCTGTAACCCAAGAACAAGTTCACTTGTATGAGGTAAGCAAACATAATTTGGGAAATTCCTTCAAGGAGATTATGCATCATGAAATTCTAATGTTAACTGTGACTCAGCACTTGGAAAGGCTGTTGGATAATCATTAACACATTCCAAGTGAACTGGGTGCTTAGCAAAATGCATTCATTTACTGCTTGAATTTTTAAATAACAAATGTGAGGGTGCAGTGGAAAATGGGGACACACATAGTAGAACAAAAAGAAAGAGTTGGAAATGAAGACGGCGGGTGAGAAGAGAACCAATGGATGTGGATAGTAACACCTACCTGCTTAAAACTGCTGAGAGAGACTTAACAGAGAACAGGGAAATAGTAAGAGGAAGAGAGGAGCTAACCACATTTTTTGATATTTGTAAATGAGATATATAGAAGATTGAAGCAGAGACACAATTCAAGCTATTGAGAAATGGAAAGGTAAAAGAAAAACAACTTAATTGGGACAAAAAATAATTTCTCAGTGCAGTTGGATTTGTAGTTCTGGTATTTAGATGGAAGCCCCAGCTGTGAAAAAGGGATTCTTTCTGTAGACACAATGATGCTGGCAAACCACCATATAAAGTGTAAAGCCTCTATGCAAATGTAAGATTTCTATGGTTTCTTTCCAACCTAAGAAAAACAAGATGTCAAAAGGCCATGAATTGAGATAATAGCAAGTAGCCTATTCAGAATGTGCACTTTCACAGGGATGCAAGGAGTCTTTGGCCCGGCCCCCAGAAAATGCACAGAAAATGTGCTTTCTCTGCAACAATGTCAAATACTCCAAATTCAGAGTTTGATCTCCCTTTCCTTTTGAAAGCACCTCTTAACATGTTTGATGACTTTGCAGGGCCAGGGAAACTCACATTATTTCCCAGAAGGCTTTGATTAAATGTACTCACTACTCAGGGTGGTGCAGCCCATGGACTTGCATCAGGTTCTGTGGAAAGGATCCAGGAGGAGATGCTATCTTGCATTTTTAATGAGAGGAGGGTATTGTACTGGCCCAGGTGAGAGTGCCTTCTGCTGCAAACCAAGGAAGTCACTTGCAATCAAGCCCCATCTCAAGGCTTTTATTCTCAGTTCACCTGATCTGGGCATTTTCTTAAGGCTCTTTAGTATATGATACTTGTTTCCACTGGTTTTAAGTAGTAGAGTTGCAGTAAAGATATTTTCTTAAACACTGCCCAGTGTTAATACTGAGTCTTTGATCCTGAAGGCTAAAGTGAGAGGGCCCTGGGGGTTACAAGACCTCCTCCCCAGCAGGGCTTCAGCTTAGAAGGGGGAGGTGGAGCTACACCGAGCTTGCCTTCGGAAGGGAGTCTGGGGAACACAATTGATGATCATGAAGGTAGATGCCCATAATTCACTTTAGTAACAGTCTTTAAGACTCACAACTCATTTAGATGCCTCCCCCAAACTGCCATTAAGAAGACAGGACAATGAAAAATAACTATGTGGCGAAACAGAAATCTGTTGCGTTTACGTTAGTTTCTCCACGGTTCCCCTGTTGCAACAGAAATGATCATTTCCAAGGAAAACACCAGATTACAGTCTGCCTCTGATATAACAGCAGGACATTTATTTTTCCTGCCTACTAATCTCATTATGAGGAGAATTTATGTTCTGTCATGATCTGTGGTCTCTGCCATCCGGGCGCCATTAAATTCAAAGGGACATTTCCAGGGAGCCACGCAGCAGACCAGGTCAGCAGCCCACTCGATGACTGGTGTTTCATTATTTTATTTTCGTTCTGATGGGCTCATCATTCCATCTGCATTAGGGGACCAGGAGGCAGCCCGGTCTAAAGATAATGACAGCAACAGTATACTTCCCTGAAGGCTTCACACAGCATGAAAATGCTGATCTCTTGTTTTATTGATAATGAAAACTGAAAATAGACCAATAATGGCCTGTGTTGCCATTGATTTAAATCTCATAGAATGAGACCTATGTGAGCTGGAGGCCCGTGCAAACTGATGTTCGGGTAGCTGGAATATAAGGAGAATAACTACCAAAGAATCACTGAAAAATAAAATCGGTGACAGGATAAACAAAGCAGCTAAGTGGTGAAATCTAATGGAAATTCCAGAAGGCAAATTATTCGCTCGAGTTATGTGCTAAGCATAGTTACGTGCCTGCACAGTCGGCAGGAGACGGCTGAGGTTCAATGGCAGTTCTGTCTCGCAGCAAATAAGATTTATGTAGCCCGCTCAGAGAGCTCAGGAAAAATGACTGTTGTTTCAGAGATCTGGGTAAGATGCTTTGGACTGCCCAGCTGTATGGTTCTGCTGTGTGCTGCAGTAACAGAGCTGAACACACAATGGAAAGGATTCAGTAAGCAGTTTTCTTGCAGTTCAGTATGACTGCACTGTGCACTCCAGACTCCAGCAAACAGACGATTTGGAACAAGCTTATTATTATGAATAGTTTCTTGTTTGTCCAATTATAGGGTCCAAAAGATAATGATGGATAATTGGCTGAGCAGTAGGTAGTGTATTACATTCTAGCACTAAATACCATTTTAAATCAAGATTCAATTACCCAAGCTTAAAAAAATGTTTATATCTCCTCTGTTATTTTTAAATGTTTACTGTTAATTTACGTTAAGATAGTATCAGGCTCCTAAACTTCAACTAATATGACTAGTCTTTCCTTCTTCATGAGATGTTGAGATAAAAAGCAATTAAATCAGTATTCTTCACTAGATTGTCA